GCTATAAGAAATAAATGAATCCAATGAATACTGTGACAACCCCCGGAGTTTGAAGATTCCTTGGCTTTATTCGGTGTGAAGTCTAGTCTTAGGAAGATGTAGGTTCGTGGAATGGCTGGGTTTTGTTTAGTTAAAAGGTCATACAGTGCGATTTAGAAAGTGGTCAAACGTAACAAATGATGCATTTGGGGTGACTCTTTCTTAGTAAAGTACAGATTCTAATACTTTTTTGGGTTGAGTCCCATCCGGGATTCGAACCAACACTGCCACAGTGAGGCATCAAATCGCCAGCACACACACACAGTCAGCGATCTAACCTACGCAGCCACCGAGGCTTCCACAAAAATGAAAGACCGACAACTGGTAGTCAAGATCACGTACTTTGTGTACCCCTCTGACGAGTGTAAATTGGCACGGCTCCCATGGCCGAACGCTATGAACAGACAATGCCATTTAGAAAAGGGTCAAATGTAACGTTCGAATTCCGGATGGGACTCAACCCCCCCAAAAGTATTAGAATCTGTTCTTTACTAAAAAAGTGTTATCCCAAATATAACCTTTGTTGAATGAGGTTGCCTTGAACGACTGCTGATATGAACTTTTGAATATCTTCTGAATACCTACTGACATTGCTCCTCAAACAAGGTCTATTCTGTGTGAAGACGAACGGTAATGGTGGTCTTCTTATCACATAAAAAATTCTGGCGCTGAATTAAGGTAAACTTAAAGCTTATAAATAAAATGTATTGAAAATTGCAATTAATCGTTAGTTCAATCAATCGGAACGCGCTAAGCTTAAAATGGCTATTCAGGCTCGCTGACTTTTTTGATGCATGTCATTATGTCCCAATTGCTTGGATCGATGCTCATGATGTCAATCACTAGATTGTCTGGACCGACCCGATTATTTACAGACCGCCTTCATATAGCTGGGATATTGCTGAGTGCGCCGTTAAAGGCAACGCAATTGGGATCGATGACATGCATCAACCAAGTCAGCAAGCCTGACCACCCGATCCCGTTAGTCGCCTCTTAAGACAAGCATAGTCGCCTTTTACGGCAAGCATGGGTTTCCGAAAGTAGACATATTGTGTTTGCCTTTCTCCTACGAGACGTCCCTGTTACATTGCGTAATCAGTAATGAAGTAATCGGTAATCAAATCTTATCACAGTCTGACATTACTGTGGCAAGAAATCAAGGCGTCAAATACATCTGTTTAAATTCGCCTCTGGGTATGTCGACCAAAGCTTGAGAAGTCACTCAACAGGGGGCCGCCATTCCTAGCTATCTGTTGACAATCTAGATCACTGTTTACTCAAATCTCTAATCCCGCGTTGTGTTAACACAAATTAAGTAAGCATCTGTCGTCGATCAAAAGGTGTGCATCTCAAACAATGCCAAGACGAGTGACACAAAGGTCAATTGGCTTGTATCTACTTGTGGCTGTCCATCTTGGCGGCCATGTTGTTACGTCATGTATCGTCTGCTCTCAGGGAGACCATGTTGTCCCCAGAACGAGGCTGTGGTGTTCTCAGCGAGGCATGGGAAAACAAAAGCTGATATATCTCCACCATTACTGATCTGACATCGTCATACCGTAGTCTCTTCAGCTGGTCACATGTCGTCTGCTCGTTGTCACGTTAATTACAATAAAACTGTGCAATGAAATGGCAAGCCATTGACTGTCTCAAGGATCGACGGTCCGCATTTGATCCCCACGGATCTGACAAGGGGGAGCTTTGATGTAAGGCCATTACCTGATTACGTACACTGATTAATGCAACCTGGCACATCGGACCAGACCACAGCGTCATTGATCGGGATGTATGTGCAGCAGCGTTGTAAATCAGACGTCAGGACGGTGGACACGTGGCCGGGGAAGGTATAGAAGGTGTAAGTGGGGTGAAGTTTGCCTTGCCATAGTTTATCATCTACATCTAGTGAGAGCAATATAAGCCTTCTGACATGGCCAGCATAGTCTCTGAAAATACATCGAAACAAATTACTGGTAATTTATAATGGGTGGGTGGTGGGGGATGGGGTCTTGAAAACATGACACAGCGACAAAGGGGTGTCACGAAGATCTATTTAAAGGGGCGAGAGGGCATAGAAACATGACACTGTTCCATCTTGGCAACTAAAAACATTATAAATGTGGATATTATTTAGGGACTGAGAGACTGGTCATTTAATAAAAGGATGGAGGAATTGGGGCAGGGGTAGGCATATGTGACTTAAAATGGGCGTGGGGGGGGGGGGGGGGGGGGGGGGGGGGGGGCGAAATAAATATGATACAGTCCTGAGACCAATCTCCAAAATCCATATTTTACAAATAATGAAGCCATGTCTACCATGTGTGTTGCAATCATTGCAAGTTTGAAATACATGAGCGGACGTCAACAGATCATTTTATTTTATTTTAAAAATCGGGGAGGGCGGTCGGTCGGCCTAGTGGTTAAAGCGTTCGCTCGTCACGCCGAAGACCCGGGTTCGATTCCCGACATGGGTGCATTTTGTGAAGCCCATTTGGGTGTCCCCTGCGTGATATTGCTGGAATATTGCTGAAAGTGGCGTAAAACCTCACTATCTCACTCAAAATCGGGCGCATTACAATCTCATCTTGCCTGGAGTGGTGTTATTGTACCACACTTCGGATATTATTTTACTACTTTGCCAAAAGAAATGTCATTCTCAACTACAATATAATACATGTAACGCTAAAGTAAACCTCCAGCGAGATGCAATACTCACTGGCGTGACATCGTGAAGATCCGGGTTAGAATTGGTCTTCAGCAACCCATGCTTGTCGTTAGAGGCGACTTGGTTGATACATCACAGCATATCCCAATTGCGTGGATCGATGCTCGTGATGTCAATCACTGGATTGTCTGGTCCACATTCGATTATTTACAGACCTCTGTCATATCGCTGGAGTATTGTACTTCGTTAAGCAACAAACATTGACGTGGACGAATATTTCGCTTCGTTGAGTCACCAGCAAAAACTGAAGAATTACATAATGATTACATATACCTCTGTGAACCAGACTTCCATGATCCATGTTCCTTACGAATCTTGAGTCATCCTGAATCATTGAATCCATGAATTCATACATGAATAGATCAATATGTCCATCCTTACTTCTTACATCAAGAAACCCCTACTCCGGTCTCATCCATGGGAACTCTCACTTTACCGTCATTCGCATTAAACCGGCAAAACCTTTCAGTCCTATTAGTGTATTGATGCATGTAAATAGAACTCTGTCTAAACCACATTTTGTATTACCCCAATAGATGCTTACAGACCAAAGGCTATCTCATCCAGTCATTTTAGCATTCTCTCCGGTAAATACGAATTCCTAGTTTTATAGTCACATTGTGTGGACTCCTATACCACGACAGATTCAGCTGAGAAAATCAATATCAGCATTTAACAGCTTCATATGGAACCAGTTCGCGTATACAGTGAAACCGTACGCTATAACATGTTGGTCATGTGACAAGGCTGTGTCTCTTTGTAACATAATAATATAGTTATAATACAGTAGTTAAAGGAAAATGTCGGCCATGTTTGCTGAGAGTCACCTTCGGGACAAGCGGGAAGAACCTGACCGACCAAACACTTCATGATGTGTTCAGGCGAATGTTTTATATGCCGTCTAAGACCAATATATTTTTGGATTCTTCTAAATAATTAACCCGTGAAGATTCCGGGGTAGAATAGGTCTTCAGCAACCCATACTTGCCGTAAAAGGCGACTAACGGGATCGTGTGGTTAGGGTCGCTGACTTGGTTGATGCATGTCATCGATCCCAATTGCGTGGATCGATGCTCATGATATTAATCACTGGATTGTCTGGTCCAGACTCGATTATTTACAGACCGCCGTCATATAGCTGGAATATTGCTGAGTGCGGCGTTAAACGACAAACCAAGAAATGGTTTGAAACTCTCTTCGACTGTACACGAGTACATAATATATCACTGTAATACTTTTAAATTCACCAGCGTCTTGTGCCCAATTCATCTCCTATTTCATATACAAAATGTCCATGCAAAGAAAGTCTACATACCTTTTGCTGCCTTCATAAACTAGCCATGCCCCCCCCCCCCCCCCCCCCCCCCCCTCCCCCCGTGTTTAAAGTCTGCCTTATCTATACCGTTTGACAATTTCCTAAAGACTCACTTGTTCACTTGTTTAAAAACGTATTTCCTAACCTCATTTAAAAATGAATACATTTCACAACACAATAATTCATTTTTTCATTGGTCTTCATCTGCATATTTCACTATAACTATCAAGCGTAAGGCATAACACTTGTTATATTCCCATTTTATAGAGTAAAAACGCCCATGTACATCTGCATATTCGGGACGTTTTATGTTGTCAGGTCAAGGTACATTTTCGATTAAGCCTTATCATGCACCTACTACGTAAGCATGGCACGGACAAAGCAATGACAAGGCCACAAACTTGTTGAACACACAGTCATCACCTACATCACTTAAACAACGATTAAGCCGTTTCTTCCACTCAATCAACGCCGTTTCTCCATTGTGTTTACATGTTTACACAAAGCCCCGAGTGTCACAACGACGCCATCTTGTATTACGTCACAATCATTGCCGCCATCTTGACGTTACGCAATGCCACTTTATGGCGCTATTTGTTCAATTACAGCGGCCGTTTCCTCGTCAAAACGTTTGTTCCCACGTTAAGTATTGTTCGGTGACATAACCCATTGGCTATCACGTTCGTTCAAACTGCTCTGCCCCACCTGCAGCCTTTAATCATGTAGATAATTCACCTTAGATCGCAAGGTTGTTTTCCGTTGGCTGAGCCAGGGTTATTTGCAATTACATGCTAAACGATTTGGTACATTGGCCCTGGCGTTTATAAACTCCGCCACCAGCGTAGGTCTGGCTGATGTGTTCACGGGATTACCAAGGTACGCAGCTAAGGGGATCGATTTCATACCCATCATTGTCGATTGCAGATGACGTGACAGGAACCGCGTGGCTCTAGGTTCACATTTCATGCATTTTAACATGGATTTCAATACTGATACAACGGTAAGTTCCTTAGCGTTCATGCAATATCCAGTTGTCGCATCAGACCTTTAGATAATCTGTCACCCAGACCCTAGAGAATAAATTAAAATACGAATCCAACTCAAATCCAGAATGAATTGTCAGGTCTTGTTTGTATCCACTGTAGCACATTAAGCGTTGTTCTGGGCCCCATTGGATTTTATTTTTTAATTTGTAGGTATATATATTGAAATAAGAAACTTTCTGGGACTAAATGCTGGTCTAACCTTTGAACGAAACAAACAGTTTAAGTACGTTTATAGTCACAACATTGCGATATATTTCTGATTTAAATGAACCAATATTATTTTATTCTGAAGCTTTTTTGCACAGTTTGATTAATATGGACATACATGTATTTTTAAACTGATAATTGGAACACATGCGGTTTCTTCATATAAAAATGACAAAGGCATTTGAAGTTGGTTGCTGTTTGTTAGGATTCATCGAAAGTAAACATGAACTGCCTCGGTGCCGACTTCAAAGCTGATTACACACAAACATTTCATAATTGGGGACCGTTTCTTGAAAAACATAACTTGTTTAGACAACACTTGTCAAAGAAAATCTGTCTCGGATGTTTGAGTCAGAATACGCTCACCTGTTCGCGAGTACCTAGTGTCGTCAGTATTTGATCGACCCGTGAAGATCCGGGGTGGAATAGGTCTTCAGTAACCCAGGCTTGCTTAAAATGTGACTATGCTTGTCGTAAGAGGCGACTAACGGGATCGGGTGGTCAGGCACGCTGACTTGGTTGATGCATGTCATCGTATCCCAATTACGTTGACCGATGTTCATGATGTCAATCCCTGGATTGTGTGGCCCCGACCCGATTATTTACAGACCGCCTTCATTTGGCTGGGATATTGCTGAGTGCGGCGTAAACAAAAATCAAACACTATTTGATCGTGATTCGTAAACAATCATGATACAATCGGCATAACACCTGAGATTCTTGCAAAGATTTCTTATGATTATGGAAAGGTTTTCGTCACTGTTATTTATTTGAATAGGGGCATAAAGTCTATGCTGTAACCTTCCCCGAATATAAATATATTTCCTGACGTTTCTTCAAAGCGACCATCGTACAATATGATATTGCAGATCAAAACAATGATGAACCCACGAGACACAATGGCCATGTTTGCATCCCCGTCTAGTACGCAGGTTGATAGAAATAGACAGGGGAGCGCCTTGATGCTATTTGCTATTCGTCTCTTCTATCTTGTGCGTCATGGACAACTCATAGTTGATACACAACACCTATAAGCGGGCTGGGTGACGTCAGTCTTTATTCAAGGAAACATTTTCTTTAGAAGCTGTTGTGCAACCTTGATCAAATCGGAGCGCGGGCATTTATATTCTGGGTATTCCCAGTCTTTGTTCCCCTCGATACTACGGGCTCTTTCTATTCCGGACAAGGCAGCGGGGTAGCCTAGTGGTGAAAACAGTCGCTCGTCACGCCGAAGACCCGGGTTCGGTCCTCCACATCTGTTCAACGTGTGAAACCCATTTCTGGTTCACGGTCGTGATATTGCTGGGATATTGCTAAAAGCGGTGTAAAACACGACTCGCTCAAAACATGCATTCACCGGATAGCTGTTAGTATACGAAATGTGTTTCTGGGGAGGGATGCAAATAAATGAGTGAGTGAGTGGGGTTTTACGCCGCTTTTAGCAATATTCCAGCAATATCACGGCGGGGGACACCAGAAATAGGCTTTACACATTGTAGCCATGTCGGGAATCGAACCCGGGTCTTCAGCGTGACGAGCGAACGCTTTAACCACTGGGTTAACCGACCTCCCGCCTTATGAATAAATTGTTTTGCTATGTTTAGTGGGTATTGTAGTGTGATGGTGCTTTCACCTTTAAACAGAGGTCGACACCAGCCGAAACTAAGGAATATCGAAACGAAGCGATCGTTTTCTTTCCTTTACGCGACGGGCTTTCCTGCCACATTAAGCTGACACGCCGTGATATAACCGGAATACTGTTAAAAGCGGCGTTAAACCCAACTCACTCACTCACTCCTTTACGCGAACACCTGGTGTCATCACTGATTTTCAGTGATCCATTCACATCACTGTTGTGTTGCCTTTCGCACCCATAAGAATCCGTTTTGGCAAAAAAATCAGACTGATTATTCTTTGGCGTTGATTTTTTAATATTTATATTTTATATTTTGGGATTTTGGTTGGGTGTTGGGTCCCTGTAACTTTCTTGTAGATCCCATTACGGCGTCGGGGGCACAGGTGGCCCAGTCGTCTAAGGCGGCGCGATTCGCTGTGCAGAGTTGCGTCCCATGGGCACGCCAGAAACCTATGATTGTGGGTTCGAATCCCAGTTTGCCCCGATTATGTTTCTAGGTTTGTCTGCACCATACCCGTGCTCGTGGGTTTCACCGAAGTGGTAAACGTCTGAGACCTGCATCACTTCAGGCTTTCCTCCCACATAAGGCTGACACGCCGTGATATAACTGGAATACTGTTAAAAGCGGCGTTAAACCCAACTCACTCACTATTACGGCGTCTTTGTTCATGTTGTATGACAAGAGGGGTGACTTCAGCTTTCCAAGAGTCAACTTTCCCATCATGTCGAGCAATATTCATGCAGCTCCAGCCTTTGATGTTTACATTTCACAACTTTTGAGATACAATCGAGCATGCTCCTTCCACCAAGATTTCAAAGAGCGTCACACGACTCTTGCTCAGAAGGTGTTTGATCAAGGTTACAACATTCAAGACCTCAGTGAAGCTTTTAAAATGATCTATGGTAGACATGTGGAGGAAATTTCCCAATTTGATCAGTGACAATAATGATGTCGGATGCAATTGCCTATTTTGACTTGTACCATTTGTTCCCGTGATTTTTCAGGTGAACAATTGCCTTGCCCTTTCATGTGTTTGTGACGGGTGACACCGGTGGGGCAGGATACGCTCACCTTTCCGCGAACACCTGGTTTCATCACTATTTGATAGTGATTCATAAACACATGCTTATGATATAGTCGGAATCGTACAATCGACTCTGCTTAAGTCAGAGTTTTCTGTTGGATATGGAAGGGTTTTGTCGCTTTATTAATTAATTATATTTATGTTCACAATATCCCTCATGTAACATCTTCACTCCGAGTCTATGCTCGCCGAATAAACTTTCAACCATATCAACTACCGAACAATGACCTGGAATATCCCTAAACGTTCCACAACAAAATCATTTTCGGCATATATTCACAAATCACGCAGGAGAATAACGACTAATTTAAAACGCCCACTAATTTGACCGCTAACAAGGGAGAAAAAACACTTTCACACATCAATTGTTCGATAAAATCGTTTCCATTGTTCAAATTAATACACTAATTAATGTCCGTTACAAAACACGATCGGCATCGTCGAACTTTGAAGGAGAACTAATTTGACACGACCCTGACGGTAATAGTCATCTGAGTAGGGGAGATAACTCCCGATTGGCCTTTTGTCTCTTCGGTGCTTCTAACAACAAACCATTTGTTCGTGTGGTCTCAAGCATTGCTCCACCATTGTGCCGGACAATGCCCGACACGCCCACCCCTGACGTCCCCCCACAACCGATCGTGCAGGGTTTATGCGCGCTCGCCATTACAAAAAAGAAGGCCAAAAGCCCATTGCACAGTAATATCCGCGATTGTGACAATGCTCGCATTGTTGTCCACTGTTTGCTAATCTGAGAATTAACACCCCCGTGTTGTGAATCCGATCTTGCCCTTAATACCCTCAGCGCTTCTTAAGGGATTATCGACTTGGGGATGTGAATGGGGATTAGTAGATTAGAGCTATGTCAAGTTTTAGCAAGTTTATAAACATTTGGGTTTGGCCATGTCAAGAGGTCACGGGATTCGGTGGTCATTTCGTGTTGACCTTGTCGATGGTCACTTCACTTGAAGCAGCGGGATATACTTTGTTAGACGTAAGTACCTGTGTTACTTTGCATGTTCGTACACTTTCCTAATTCTAGCTTAGTATCGTGGAGGTATAGTTATGATGAATATGACATTGCTCTATGGACCTATTGCGCATCATCTTAGCGCTAAGATGATCGTAACTCCATACTTTAACACAGGCCTACGACAATCATAGCACTAAGATCGCTTTGTGGAACGGGACCCTTGTCTATGAAATCTGAGGTTAATAATGTTTCTTTCTCAATAAACACCGGACGATGTAATAAACGCCTCTCGTATTTTCAACACAGTTACTCGTACGAAACCGAAGAAGTTTGTTCACATTACACAACTTTCTTTTTAGATTTTTTATTTCGGAGAATCAGACTGAGTTGTTATTGCTCCTATCACTGATTCAAGACATTCAAGCAATGTCTTTCTTAAAAGAGATAATCAATACTTTTAACACATTTCTTAGGATAATCGTTATGTCCAGAAAACGGTTTCGTTTTTGTGTGGGAGAACCCGGGGCGTCAGATTATATATGACGTTATGGCCTGACAGCAGAGCTTCAGATAAGCAGCGTATTTGCGTAAAATACCCCCTCAAAATATTCAGAACCCAATTACTTTCAATTAACCTGCCTACAGAAACGCATACTTTAAATGAAAAACTCAAATAAAAACAGCACGCGTAAAAACCCAATGAAACTTTTTCAGCATGCGTACAATGGAACTAATTTCCGAAACAAAATTACGAGCTAATTTACTTTCCGAGTCAAGCCTATATATTAAGAACATTATTTCATGGTGTTTTTTTTAATCTAAAATTGTGCACTAAATTTAGGAAAAAATCAATAGAATGATGAATAGATGAGTGAAAAAATATTGGTTACCCAATGCAAAAGGTAATATCCCAATTAAAATAGAAACCCTAGAGTGAAAACTGAATGCTCAAAAAACTATATGGACGTATCAATTACAGTGTCTCATATGAGGCCTTATGAAAGTGAGTGAGGATGGTTTTACGCCGCTTTTAGCAATATTACATCAATATCA